ATTATTGCTTTATTTTAGGTTAAACCCTTAGCTGTTATATGGAATAATCACCCTCAATGGGGACCGCATAACACAATTATGTTTGATGATGTCCGTAGGAATTTTATCATGAATCCACAGAGTGGATTAAGGGTAAGGTGATCTCGTTTTTCTGTTTTTTTTCTGGCTCAATATGTCTTAATAATAATTGGTGTAAAAATGTATGTATAAAAAAGGCGCTTATATCAGATTACTGATATGATGGGAGGATAGAAATATTTTTCGTGTGATGCGTCATACTACTATAATACGACTAGTGACCGAGATTATGTTACCACTAGACTGGATACTCCATTGATAGGCTGTGCGCAGATTGGATCATGTTATACTAGATACACAATTCATGACTAAATATCAGAGTTCAGAGAATAGAATAGAATTTACTCAGCGCGATTACAAGCAGTTTACACAGTGAGTCCAGAGTAGAAATCGATAATAGGAGAAAAAAAGTTACAATTAATAGTTAGTAGACCAAGTGTTTTTCAGTCCACACTCATCGGTCGATCACATTTACTTTCACTGACCATACATCAATTAAATATTAGCATAAAAGTTACATAATAAAAAGACAAACAGACGTCAACATATCGCCTGACACAAATGTGCATTAGCCAAAGTTGCCATACCTGATTCCCACAACGAGATGTAAGTAACAAAAGAGGTCGAAATAATTGTAGTAGCAACAATAAAATGTAAGACTAAATCTCAGGAATATAGTTCGCAAAAAAACAGGGTGGAAAGAGATTCACGAAGGGATACTGAAATTCACGTTACATAACTCATTCTTCAACAACTCAGTTGGAAGTTTGATCACTTTTACTAGACTAGCAGATAAGGAAGTCCCAACATCAATGTAAGTGGTAGTTCATTGAATAAGGCGTTCAAATTTCAGCTACTAGGTCGCAGTGTTGAATCTTGTTGCACTTAGAACTGAGCAATCTGGTAGTACAGTACTTCTTACTCTTAGGGTATTACTTGAATCTGTACCTGGTAAATAAGTTGATACTGTAGGGACAGTTGTTGTATACAAATGCGATTTATATCACTTCATTTTTAATATTCTTCTCATAGATTCGTTCATATCGTGATGCTCATGTGAATTGTTCGCGCGATCATGAATTATTACGTTTGATTAAGTATTTAGAATTAATTGCTTTAAATGAACAAGATTTCACTCAATTAAATCATAATCATTGGGATCGTTATGTACATAAACATCGAAAACAATGGGAAGCATTAAAAATTAAACGAAAAAAACAATCGAAACTTTGTCAAGACAATGAAACAACAAATAATCAACCATTTGTTGTACAGTCATCTACTTCATCTTCATCTCAATCGTCCATTTATGCATCTACAATTAATAGTAATAACGTTGTTTCTGTTCCAGTCATTTCTTCGTCATGTACAGTACATGAACCAATTGAAGTTTCATCAAGTTCTTTGTCTTCTAGTCCTAACAATACTACTACTAATACTACTACTACTAGTTCATTTACTAGTGGTCAAAAACGTGTACATGACAAAAATCCTGATGATAACGATGATGATAACAATCACTGTGTTGATACAAATCAAACATATAATATGATTAAAGATAATCTAAATAAAGGAGATGAGGATTAATAATTCTTAAAGAGAATACTAATATAATATGAACAGAAAATTCAGTCTGTTTATTCTTATATTCTCTATGATGGAGGGTAACTTTTCCCATATTATGGTGATGATGATCACATGTTTTCAGTTACCTGCTTAATTCAAGTAAACAAAACAAAGAAAACATATAAATTTGGATTTTTTCCCCGTTAACTGTAATTATCACTTACGCATGTATCATACATTTATATTTATTAGTTAATCTTATAGGATGTTTAATTGTTCATTCTTGGTTTGGGTAAACTAGGCCTACATATAACCCCGCCTGGAGCCCCCCTGGGGCTATTGCCAGTTTCAAGCCCGGACAAAGGAGGATGGTTGGGCATGGGGTTAACGACCCTATCCCATAGAAAACTAACTCGCTAAAGAAGTGCTAACCAGAAAAAATAATTCAAACCACTTAAATTCTGTCCTGGGAGTTAGAAGGTCTTCATTTAGAAGTGCTATGATGCCTCATGGTGAAAACCGGGTTCCTTCGGAAGTCACGAGTTCTGACAACCAGAGCAATCATTAATTCAAGCACATAGAATACTCTTACGATGTGGGGGACCGGGAGAGTCTTCCAAATTGCTGCTGCAGGTCTACATATCTTTTCACACTTTACTTTTGGGTCACTGGTTGGTTTAAAATAAGAGTTTTAAGCAAAAAACGGGAAGCTTTTAGTAGACGAATGATCTCTTTGCTGTGTTATTTATGTTAGATAATTAGTGTATGTATTATAATGAAAGGAATTTTATGCAAGAATTGTATTGATTATGAGATATACGATCAAACACTTGACTTGATTGTGGTCAAACGATGGTAATTGCTCAATAATTCTGAGTTATTGATACAAAACTCCGTAGTTCAACGAAAGAATTTCAAAAGACCATAACTAGTCATCAAAGTATGAGCCATTTTATACAATAAAGTATTACGATACCAAATATTTTATATGAAATAAGGTTGGTGAGATTTATTGGACTCTTAAGTGATTGTAGGACTGTCAGATTTTGTAGATCATTCACCAACTTATGAAATTAAGACACGACAGGTTTACTTGTCACCTACTACATCACTGTGATGATGCGTTCAACTAAGAGATGGCACACATCTGTTAACTTATTATGAACACATTCGATGACATATGTCAGTTGTGACCCTCTTAGCTTAATTGTAATGTTTTGCAATGTGACAGAGAGGATCAGTTCCCACAAGATACTAGATATTAATAGACGTTTTCTCCTACTATATTCAGTATACTGTAGTTTTGGGATAACAGCAGTTAACGGTCAGTTACCGGAAGGAACTGATTTACCATTAAGAACTCAACATTTTGTGACTCTGACTGATGAAATAAGATTTTCCCTACTTCTCATGCTGATTGTGGAGTATGCGAACATGGATATACCACATTCCTTTTTTCATATATCATCTTAAGGTCAAGTGGTAAACGAGAAACTGTAAGTGATACACTAATGGAAGTTGGTGAAGTACTTTGCCAAGATCCCTGCCTACACATTCTTGTTTGGCTCATCAGGACAATCGCATACATGTGGTGTATCCAACTCATGAAGTATGTAGCACCAGTGGGAAGTGGAATGCCTGTTAGCATAAGATTGAAATGAAGAGAATAGGAAGGGAAACAGGAAGTTGTAATAACAGTGAAATTGGAAGAGTTATGAAACATGTAAAGGACAAGTGAAGGAAGATGTGCAAGTAATGTATGGTCTTCATATTTTATGAATGCACTCTCTAATTTCGCATTGAATAATAAATTGGTTTTCCCCAGCTCATCAGTATAAGTGGTAGTTCAGTGATTAAGGCGTTCAACTACTAGGTCGTAATGTCGGGTCTTGCTGCACTTACTTAGAATTGGTGTTACTATATCGCTTGGATAGTTTGTTCTATTTTTAACTATTTTCTTACTGTGACTTTAAGTTGGTCAAAAATCTAAATTGAAGCATTCTATTTTTACTAAATAATGATGGTTGTTTGAATTCTCAAACTAGGTTTTGATGCTTCTGAGACATAATGTGCCTCTGAAGGATAATCGTATTTATTGCCTGTTGTTGTTATAGGAATTCACTCTGTTATATATCGAACACTTCATATTGATTACTCATAATCAAGTTTATGTGCAAAAATGACAAATCAGTTGGTGAGATTATGAGTCTCCATCTATTGAGTTTGGGCATGTGTTGGGTAACCCCAACCACTGCCAGTCTTGACATGTTTGGTTTCTTTTCCTTTCATCATGGGCATCAGTGTAACTTCGATTCATTTTGCTGTGCTAGTTTGACTAGTTCACATTTATATCTATCAGAATGATAATCGGCGCTTAATTTATTTAATATTTTTAATAGTTGAATTCATGAGTCGATTAAAACTAGATCACCATGGAAAACGTGGAAGCACTGGACGGTCGTTTCATCCTAGTATGGAACTCACTAGTGACCGATTTTATGAGGTATTTCCTGGAGTTCTAGTGAGAAGCTGTGGCCAGTAGAGTCCAACCGTGTCTTTTGTAGAGGCAGTTACTCATTGTAGACAATCGTGGATGGCCGCGCAATTTCGTGGATTGATTAAAGTTAGACATTAACACCGTTGGGCTTCAGGCTCAGTGGTCTAGAGGATAGTTCTGAGGTCCTGTGCTCGAACCTCGTATGTGGTACTTTTTATTTATTTAAACATTGGTATAAGGAGGCACAGAACTAGTATGCACCACACTTTGCCACTCGATTTGCGTGATGTCTGGGATACTTCACGGGTGCCCAAACCGAACCAGGTGGTTTCCATAGAGGGTTACACCCGGAGCCTTTGACCCAAGGGTCTGATCCACAAGGCAGTGGAGCAACATTAAGAGATGCGGCTCTATGGTAGCCGATGACCAACAATATGTTCATACGCCATTATTCCCTTAGGATCCTGAAGCTAATGTGCACCATTGGTTTTGAATCATGTTTTTTCAACTCCCTTCTGTGGATCTTCCATATCCACCAACCCGGTTAAAGCGTCAAACATTCACATTTCTCTCAATTTCGTGAATAACACCCTCACCACGAGAAGGCAGTGAGTGGGACTTCTCTGGCAGTAGTTGTATGCACGTGGCATCATGCGGGATCGTGGATGCACACGACTGAACAGTCCTATACTTCAACGAAACGTCAGCTCATTACTTCCAAGTTCTTAATGATGACCTAACTTTGATTGACTCATACATTCAACGATTAGAAACCTACTACAATCTCCACACTGCCCTACCCCCGTATTTAATAAGTGTATGTAATTCTGTTTATTATTTCTTTTAAAAAAAGGGAATTTTATTTTGCATAAGCAATTGCATTAAATAAATTTTGTAATATATAATCTAAAATGAATTCATTTTGATTGTGATGTAATATGATAGATTTGAAAAATACTTGGATACTTAATTGTTTTAACCAATTTTTATTAAAATGAATTAATTTCTCATAGAATTGATTCATTAAATCATAACGTAAATGAGTAGAGAAGATTGTGGTTGATTGATTGATTGTAGGTTGAATATGACCTAAACAATAAAGGAATGTATTCGTTATTAGAATTTGAAGAATGTAACATTAAAAGAAAACAACTGTGAAACAGCATTTATTCTTTCATCTTGAATGTCCGGCGCTTTTTATTCGGGTTGGTGGATATAGAGGGACCACTTAGGAGAGTTGGAAAACGATGATTCGAAATCAATGGTGTACATGGGTTCCAGTATCTTGAAGGAACAAATGGAGTATGAACCAATCGTTGATTACCGACAACCATGGGATTGCATCTCCTGACGTTGTTCTACTGTCTTGTGGATCAGATCTTTAGGTCGAAGGCTTCGTGTGTGGTTCCATAAGAGAACCAACTGCTTCGGTTTGGCCATTCAGTCAGTATCACAGCCCTCTCACAAATCGAATGATTTATGTGGCGGATATATATTTGGTGCCTCCTTGTACCAATGTTTATGTGTTTAAATGAATAAATAATGAATCATTTTCTATATTTGTTCGTAAATCGTGTATTCGGTATAATATGATTCAGTCTTTGTATAGCTTATCGATTGAGTATCTGATCTAATGATTCTATACTATCGATTACCGGTTGTAATATTACATGTCAGTAGTATAACGTAGCAAATGAGAAGTATTTACATTCGACCGCTTTATCGCAATAGTTGTTAAGTTTGCTTACGTTCTCTGTCATTACTCTCTACCCACCAACTCCTTTTGTTTATTGATTTATACTACTTATTATTATTCAGTAAATATTTGTATTTTCAGCGATTTCTACACATATGTTATAGCTCAAGTTTATTGTGTGATATTCTAAATTTATTTATTTTAACACATAGATATTGGTACAAGGAGGCACCAAATACATGTGCGCCGCACAGATCTCATTTGATGTGTGTGAGGGCTGTGATACTGCACGGGTGCCCAAACCGAACCAGGTGGTTTTCATAGAGGGTTACATCCGGAGCCTTTGACTCAAAGGTCTGATCCACAAGGCAGTGGAGCAACATTAGAAGATGCAGTTCTATGGTAGCCGGTGACCAACAATATGTTCATATGCCACTTTTCCCTCACGATTCTGGAGCTAATGTGTACCATTGGTTTTGAATCATGGTTTTCCAATTTCCTTCGATGGACCCTCCATATCCACCAACCCGGTTAAAGCGTCAAACATTCACATTTACTTCTCTCAATTTCGTGAACAACACCCTCACCACGAGAAGACAGTGAGTAGGGATTCCCTGGCAGAGGCTATATACGCGTGGCCATGTGAGAGCATTCTGAGAGGGAGAGAGGACTCTTCTCACTTTCGGCCGTACCTGAGCATTAAGGGGCTATATTCTAAAATATTTACATATACTTATAACATTTATTATATTTATCATTATAATTACTGTCTCTCGATCTTTGTAGCAGCTATTTTCAGTTTATCGATATCGAGGTAATATGCATAATATGCACATGTGCCATTAAGAGACTGATCAATTGCACTCCTTAACATCCATGGGAAGATTCAAGTAAACAATACCAAATGAATTTAAAATCCACCCCATTTACAGAAGCAAGTGCTTATTAGGACTCAGCAAATAAGTGGATAACGCGATGGCGTTTGAAGCGAATGGTGTCCCGAATTGGACATCAATTCAGATTCATATACATCTAGCTGACGAGCGCTAAATAAGATAAAACGCGCGTCAAACTGGATTCCATTGCTAGCTATCATTCATCTTTGTTTATAATGCTCGCGAATGAAGGCAATATCGGAGAAATCATTAAGGGATGCACATATGATTATGAGAGACTGACCAATTTCAGTCCTAAACATTAATTGCAAGATTCAAACAAAGAATACTAGATTAATTCGTTTAATCTTTGTTTCCATATTTGTTTGATCTTGGTTGCGTTTTTGCTTGTTGATAAACTGATATCAAGATTAGACACAGCTATCAGCTGTCGTTTACACTATCGTTCATCATAATCATTTCTTATGTTATTATTGCAGGAAGCCCTTTTTTCTTTTAAGCTTACAAACGCGCTATGTGCCACAGACACCCCACAAGTTAAGATTTATAACTAATTCATGTATATAACTCAATAAAGAACCATTTTTCCAACAAACTGCTGTTTCATGATCTTCGATTCCGCGTGTATTTCAATTGTTTTATTGGACGCTTTGACAGATTCAACAAAAGTAGTGAACGAAGTTTGCAGGGTTTATGGAAATGACCTTTGATTCTAAATTTATAATAGTTCCCTTTGTATTCTGTAATAATTTGTTGATTGATGAATAACCTATAAAGTTTTATATCAATTTTGATTTATAAGCTCGATTCATTTCAAGAGAAGCATTATGTTAATTAATCAATCATTATGGTAACTGGTTACTTGATTACAGTTTATACTAGTTCATTGTATCAGTTTACAAACTTGATCATGTTTAGAAAAATCTTGAAAATTTCTCTTTTCACAGATTGAAATCATGAGTCAATTGAAGCTAGACCATCATGAAAAACCTGGAAGCACTGGACGGCCGTTTCGTCCTAGTGTGTGACTCCTCAGCAGTGAGCATCCACGACCCAGCACCCCGCGAGATTCGAACCCAGGATTTATCAGTCTCGTTCCAAGCGCTTAATTAACTAGACCACTGAGCGGGGTGCGGGATCGTAGATGCGCACTGCTGAGGAGTCCCACACTAGGATGAAACTGCCATCCAGTGCTTCCAGGTTTTCCATGGTGGTCCAGCTTCAATTCAACTATTAAATTACTATAATATCTACAAAATCCCCTTTCTGTGAATAAAACTTTACTCACCTAAATTATTTTCGGTGAATATTTTAAACTTTACACATTCACTTTCTTCTTTATTTAAATTAAAGTCAATTAAATATTGAATCAACGAAATACCCACTTCCAATGAATCATGAATATTGAGCATATTAGTCAGAATAGGATTTATGAATACATCGTTACTTTCATTCAAGTGATTTGGCTTCGGATTTTCATTACGACTAGGACACCCAATTGTATGTTTATCATCGAAATTATGGTTGATATATTCCATTACATGAATATAGAATAAGAATATCCAATTTGTATTAGCTAAGTCAATCTAGAATGAAGAAACAACACAATGAATTAGTGAATTAATTTTTGACTACTCATAAGTAGTTCAAATGAGTAAGTAAAAGAAAGAGGCAGTGTCATGAATTTAAAAAATTAGGATTTAAGTCTGAAATTATTTTGGTACGATCTAACGGTATATGACCACTTCATACTTTTCACTTCCATCTCAATTTGCCTATAAACGTTTTTAATTCCAGAATTATTAGGTTTTCTTTACCGGTAACAGCAATGCCGTAGCTTTGAGTAGATTTTATCATGATGTAACATTTCATGGAAGTATAATCATGACATGGCATCTGAAATATGCTTGGAATCCTAAAGACCATATGGTATCTTGAGAAGAAGGATTTCGAAATTCTTCGTGTTAACTCTAAGCTTAATATACTCTAAGGGAAAATATATTTGTAACATGTCAGCGATTGAATTTCAAGTAAATCCAACGTTTCGCAAGACAATCTAGTCCAAACTAAGATTTTACAAATATATTTCTCCTCCTTGATGTCTTTCATTAACACGGCACCTAATTACTATGAAACTATTAATGTCCTCTATTTGATCTGTTCTCGACGTTAAGTGCAAGTCCTGATATCTCATTATTTTGGTATAAATTTATCAGTTCATCTAGTCCTATGGAGTTAGGTATATTGGTCATTCGAAATACGTTTAATCCAAGAGATTTCAAGAGTATTAATCTAAACGGTTGAAGAAGCAACACAAATTAGCACAGTCAAAATATGCACCAACAATCTAACACAGAATTTTCATATCTAGAGACCAATTGGTTACATAAATACTTCATAGCTTAAATCTAATAGCTAATTTCTCGATAGTGCTTAATTATTATCCTATGTAACCAATGATATCTACAATCCTACACAGTTGAACTATACCTTTCTAAAGTTCTCATCGTAAACACATCTTAGTAAAAGTATCAAAGAAATACAAATCTTGAGATGATGGAGAAGATTTGTAGCTCAGGTGGATGATTTTGATGGAGTTTTGTTCTCCGACCTCGATGGTTTGGTCATGGAGCTTTCATCGTCCGTCTGAACAACAACATCAGCACAAACTTCAGATAGAAGTGAAGTGTTTGAATTTCTTCACATATGGTTCACAACTTATCCTGTAGACCTCGATTTCCATTGGTTCTTGTTGACGTTAAACCTATCATTGTTTACTTATTTGTTTTGGTTGTATCTCCTATTCGTTTGATTTTTGTTCCTATGTTTGTGCATAATTATACACCAATCAAAGATACAACCAAAAATAAAGAAGTAAACAGTGACAGGTTTAACTTCAACAAAAACCAATCAACACTGAGGTGTACAAGACAAGCTATAAACCATATGTAGAGAAATTTGAACACTTCACTTCTACCTGAAGTTTGTGCTGATGATGATGTCATTCAAAAGAATAATGAAAGCTTCACGACCCAACCATTCAACTCAGAGAACAAAACTCTATCAGAATACACATCTTATCCATGATAAAATCTACCTTCCCAGTGAACTAATTCAATAGTTCATTCCATCTAGTTCTCTCAATACTCATTCATTTAAGCTTACCTTATTTCTATTATCTTCTATATTTATATTATCAATTAAGTAATGATTCAATATCCATTTAATCATATTCATCATAATCTGTATACCAATTTCTGTTTTATTCCATTCATTTAATTTTATAAAATCTATCCAATTCATTTGAGTAGTATGTTTCATTGTTTTATTCTTTAAATATAAATTTGTATTTAAATCTAAATGATTATTGTCTTGATTAACAGACACTAGGGGATTGTTTACTTTCGATAAAAAAGCTGTGCAGAAAGAGAAAACAAAAAGAGAAAGAGAGATGATCAACTACTAATTGTAAATGTAATTGTATTTCTACACTTTCATTATTATTATTATTGTAACTGGAGAATTATGATTAACTGTTTTTTTGATAATCGAATGGATCATGAAGACGTCAACATCTGAAGAGAAGCACAGGACACAGTGAACAGATAGGATGCAGCTGAATGATCTAGACTTCACAGATGATCTGGTTCTTCTATTGCACACACAACAACAAATGCATGAGGAGACGATCAGTGTAGCAGCAGTCTCAGCAGCAGTAGGTCTAAATATACACAAAGGGAAAAGTAAGATTCTCCCATACAACACAGCATGCACCAATTCAATCACAATTGACGGAGAAGATTTGGAAGATTTAAAACCTTTACATATTTGGGCAGCATCATTGATGAACATGGTGGATCTGATGCAGATGTGAAGGCGCGGATCGGTAAAGCAAGAGTGGCATACTTACAACTGAAGAACATCTGGAACTCAAAGCAACTCTCAACCAACACAAAGGTCGGGATTTTCAATACAAGTGTCAAGACAGTTCTACTGTATGGGGCAGAAACCTGGAGAACTACTACAACCATCATCCAGAAAATACAGGTGTTTATTAACAGTTGTCTACGCAAAATACTTCGGATCCGTTGGCCGGACACCATTAGCAACAACCAACTGTGGGAGAGAACAAACCAGATCCCAGTGGAGGAAGAAATCAGGAAGAAGCACTGGAAGTGGATAGGACACACATTGAGGAAAGCACCGAACTGCGTCACAAGACAAGCCCTCACTTGGAATCGTCAAGGCTGGATAAAGGAGATGTGGGAGACCAAAGAATACATTACGCTGAAAAATGGAGACAGGCATTAGAAGAATGAAGAACAATTGGATAGAACTGGAACGGAAGGCGCAGGACAAAGTGGGTTTGAGAATGCTGGTCGGCGGCCAATGCTCAATTGGGAGTAACAGGCGTAAGTAAGTAAGTCTTTTGATAATATGAGGTAATTAATGCAATAATATCTTTATTTTTACACTAATTAGTCTCTGAGTGAATGACCATTGTCATGGTTGTTTAGTTCTTTTAACATTGATTGGTATTTATCGATCAGATTGTAATGTGACTTCTAGTCTAATTGACTCAACACTCCATGCACTGTTTTAATGTTTTGTGATTGAACGTGAAGCATAGAAAACCACAGATCAAGCTTTTCTATTAGTTGAGTGATCTAGGTTCGAATCCCTCGAAGAGAGTCAGTTGCCTCAAGATTACAGATCTGATTGTTGACGAATGTTAATTGTCATGAATACTGGATCCAAGATTTTTCTTAGACTGTGTACAATCACGAATTATATCCTGCTATTATCAACATTTACAAGTTGATAATACCTTGGATGGTGGTTAACAATGAAATCCAGTACTTATATTCGTGTAATTTAAAATTTTAACAATTGAATTCATGAATCAATCTAAGTTAGACCACTATTGTTAAACTTGAAAGCACTGAACGTCTGTTTCGTTCTAATTTGGTACTCCTCAATAGTACACAATCACACGATCCCTTACATGACATCCAAACCCAAACTTCCAATCTCACATTCGAACATTTAACCACTAAATCATTGAGCAAATATTCAACAGTTTAACATTCACATACGAGAGTGAATATCTTGAATTCGAGTCCCACATACATAATCATAAATAAACCCTATTGATGAATCCCCTAACTATAGTCAGTCAGTCGGCTACAACGTAGGACCAGGCACATATGTGCATCGGTCCAAGTTGCCATACCGCATCAGCACAACAAGATGGACACCGGATTCATAAAAGTAGTTAATTCAGAGTTGGTAATATATAAAAGAGAGATTGCATATAAGGATATAGTACAGGAAGAAAGAATTAGTTGGTAGAAAGAAAGATATGAAGCGATTTTAATCTCATAGTTTAAAGGAAGACAGAAGGTGAATATACCTACGCCATTGTGATCGATTCTGAGCCATGTCACTAAGAGTCTCCAACCATTGGTTACGATAGTCACGTGAACCCCAACCAAATAGTCTACATTTTCCAACATGACACAGACCGGAAGTTAGTGACTTCAAGCACTGATGCCATGTTTTGGTTTGGCCCCCCCCTAACTATAACGAAACCAATCATCTAATACTTTCAGGTTTTCTAAGATGGTTCACATAACACCTCCCACCACCACTATCAAAACCACCATTATTTCTAATTATACTATGAAAAACATACCTTCTTTTAAATGTTTATATAAATTTAAATAATAATCTGTTGTCAATTGACTTTCACCATTCTTGATTATATCAGAAGATTGAAAGATTGTCAATAACCAATTATTTAATAATAAATAATCAATATTATTTTTATATTGATATTGTTGATCAATATTCATTGTATATTGATTGATTTTTAATTGATTATTTAAATCATATTGATTGATTTTATTATTATTATTATCATTATTATTATTATTATTATTATTATTGATTAAATCATTCAATGTTTGTTTATTTATATCAAAATGATTTAATAATTTAATCAATAATTTTAAATGATACTTTTCATATAAAACATTTGGCGCTATATTTAATGAATTCCATTTCAATGATTTATTGATTAGATATTGATTTTTTATTCGATCATTGAAATCAATATTATTATTATTATTATTATTATTATTATTATTATTATTATTAGTGATTAAATGATTATGATTCATAGAAAGATTTAATGGATAGTCATCATTTGATTTATTTCTAGATTCTATTGTAGATTTTATGGTTGATAGAACATTTTTATAGTTGCTATGGTTATTGTTGTTGCTATGGTTGTTGGTGTTGTTGGGTTTTCTTGGTCCACGTTCATGTTGAACACCTAGAAATATATATAAAAGAACAATAATATTATGTTTATTTTTCTTAAGATTAAATATTTTGGGAAAGTTTTTTTTTAATTTGAAAGTAGTTTACATCATAGATATCTTAGCTATGTGTCCAAGAAGTTTTGTGTTTAATTTTTGATGGGATTATTGGGTTCCAAGTATTCAATACATTCTAATTGAATAAAATAACTCTTCTGTGTTTTTTTAGTCTTTAATGATTGTCTAAGTAGATTATTGAATTTCATTAAAATCACTAGCCATTCACAGTTAGACAACTATTGAAAACCTGACATCAACACTGTTGGATTCCGGCTTAGTGGTTTGGAGGTTAAACGTTCGCTTACGAGACTGATAGGCCCCGTGTTATAGCCCAAAGCCGCCAATCAGAAGCAGCGGATTATCGATCGGACCAAGGACGCGTAAAACACATATGAGCAGCCTAGAGTCCTGATTGGTCCTGCTTTCCGCCTAGCCCAGCCAGTTAAGTCCAGAACACCAGTCTCAGCCTCTGCAATATTAATCCTTATATTTCAAACATACTGAGTTTATATACGAAACAAACAGACCACAGCGTACCATAAAATAGAAAACAACATTTGTACAAGAATTAGACAAATGTGGCTATAAATGAGGGAGATAGTAATTAATAGACAGGGCATAATTCAAGAATGGTAAAACGTATAATATTGGTTCATAAGTCAAAATAAAGTTTATAATAAGAGGAATATGAATAGTTTAGTTATTTAACAATTATACGATAAAAATACACGTTAAGTAGTTGTCCATAAAAGGATCCCAAGGTTATCATTCATTATGTTTCTCGGAACCTAACACCCTGGTTCCGAATCTCAGGGAGCGGGATCGTGGATGTGCACTGTTGAGGAGTCCTAAACTAGGATGAAACGGTCATCCAGTGTTTCCAGGTTTTCCATGATGATCTAGCTTCAACTGATTCATGAATTCAATTATTAGAAAATTACTACATTCTCCACAAAACCGATCTGTGATTATAATACATATATGTTAAATCAACGTAATTGTATACTCATTTTAAAATATATTATCCAACTGAGAATATAACTATTCAATACATTTATTTAACACCATTGGTTAACTCCTTATATGTAAATCTTCTCAATATTCATTTGTCTGGTTACCTGTCTATCCATTCATTTGTTAATTCTATTCTATTACTGTATCGATGTATAAATACCTAAAGTACACTGGTTAATTGGCGCTCTCAACAGTTTGTATTCATTTCAATACAATATAGATTAGATCAGTCTAATGCAGTCCTGTATTTGTTTCACTACAATGCAATTGCTCGTTATTCGATTATCAGTGTTATTTTTATTCTAACACAATTACTGGTGTTTTTAATTGCCAAGCATCAATATAAATCCAATTCAATCACAAAGAGGTCTAAATCTGCTATTAATCCAATACTCCTATTATTTCAGTCCAGCTGTGTTCATTCATTTCAATCAAAACTCAAATATAATCAAAGATGGATGGTGGCTAGTAGTAGAATCCAGGCCACGCATTTTATCTTATTTGGGACTCGTCAACTGGATGTACCTGCATCTGACTTAATGTTCACTCTGGGAATCGAACCCAACACCGTTCGCTTCAAACGCTATCGCGTTATCCAATTAGAGTATGAATTAAGATAATATCGAGACAATCCGTACAATATGCACATATATCAATAAGAGACTGATCACTCGCAGTTTTAAACATCAATGGGAAGATTCAAATAAACAATAGCAAGTGAATTCAAAGCTTAATTGTTTATTACTACTGAATAATACTAGTGAATATATACTATAGAAAATTTGTATTCAATTTCTTACATAACTCATTTGTCCTTGGTAATAGAATATAAATTCAACAAATATAAAAGTTTTGATTCCTTTTTACAGTTTCATGAGCATGCACTATTGATGGGTATCACTTAAGGATGAAACAATCATTTGTAAAACTACTAACGCATCATCATCATTCATACACTCTATGTGTGTATAAATGAAGTAAACCGTAAATGTCTTGAATCTCAGGAGGGACAGCTTTGTTTTAATTACAGTTCTATAACAGAAATCAAACTAGAGCAATATGAATAAATTTAGAAAGATTTTGATAACTGAGTTGTCTGAATGATAGTCAACCTTAACAAAAGAAGGAAAATCGAATATCATCTATAAAATAAATTGTTGTAATTGTGAAAAACACTACATTGGAAAAACTTGACGTCCTTCTTCCTCTTCAGCTGTACAAACATAAACTATTCGTCAAACGCTATGACATATTCTCTCTTACATCAATCCATGTGGACAACTGTGGATACACATTCGACTGAGAAAACGTTGAGATCTTGGATAGAGGGAATTCTAAAATAGCAGAGAATTTTTAGACGATTGACACTCAGGTCCATCAAAAAACACATTGAAATCGAACCAATCAGAAAAATCGTTAACAAATATAGGACCAAGAATCAAATCAATAGAAGATATAATCAAAATAAAGAAGTGAAGAATGACAGGTTAAACGTCAAAAAGAATCAATCAACATCGAGGTTAACAGGATGAGCTGTGAATCATATGTAGAGAAATTCAAACATTTTACTTCTATCTGAAGTATGTGCTGATGATGTTTTTCAAAAGAACAATGGAAGTTCCATGGACAAATAATTCAGCTCAGAGAACAAAACTCCTCCTAAATTATCTACCTGAGCTACAAATCTTCTCCACCATCACAAGAATAATGTATTGTCTGGTTGATAGTTTGCTCTAACAAGACTCAATTATATCTATATTAGGTCCTTAAGATCAGTAAATAAGAATAAAGTTGTAACAATACATTTAAATAAGAAAATATGATAAAGATATGTCGAGCGAGAGTATCACCCAAGGCTTTTAGAATTGACAAATTGTACGCAATAAACCAAATTCCAAAAAATCATACGCAAGATATTCAATATCCGTTGGCTAAAAAATACACTACATGGAGAAATAGAAGCAGATATGAAAAGGATGAATACCGACTGGAAACAAATGCAAAGGATTGCCTATGACATGGTTGGATAGAGAGTGCTGGTGGGCGGCCTATGCTCCCCTACGACGGGTAACAGGTGTAAGTAAGTAAATAATATATGCGAAGAAGAAGAAACTATGAAAAGATTAAGGGTATCATTATAAATAGAATAAAGAAATAAATGTACAAATGGATGAGATGAGTGGTTTATTGTGATAAATAAACGTCATCCATTACAGCACATTTGTCATATGAATTGCTAAATATTAATCAAACTACTGATAATTATTAAGTAGTATAGTGCATAGCGTAAAAAAACAGGCTTGGGGTGAAACGAAGTTTGACAAGTTCTAGATTAATCTGTTAATTCAGTTACTGGCTAATGAATAAATTCAATCGCTTATGAAAATCAGGGAGTATATCTATACTGTAGATCAAATATATTCGTGTTATAGTTAATTTGGGAATAACAAAAACACAATAACAGTTCTTTTCTGAACGGACCACAATTTGTATTTAATATACCGGAAAAGCATTAGTGAGTCATATACTGTTGTAAGGTTACACAATGAGTGAAACTTAAGGATTTTAGCGGACTACTGTAAGTAAATGACTTATCTAACTAAAATCACTACTTATTTACTTCTGTCTGAAATGATCAGGTATGTTGAAGAATTCCACATATAGAATAAAATCTAACTTCATGAAGTCTTGTCAAAAACACATCATCAAGACCATTACAAAACATCGATAGGATTCATATATATATATATATATATATATATATATATATATATATTTGAGATGGTGAGAAAGATTTTTAGCTCAAGTGGATGGTTCCGGTTGGAAGTGTTTTCTCCGAGCCAGATAGCGTAATCATGAATCTTTTATTATCCTTCTAGGTTACATAGTGTGCTACTTATATTGGACATAAGTAGTATATAACGATATTCAGGAATAGAATGTCTGGCAGCAGAAGTTTAAGTAGATCGAGGAGGAAAGAACCAGAACAGAAAGTAATTGGTATGGAAATGCAGGAACAATGAAGTGTAAGGTGACTGATGATTGATATTTGCAAACCGAACAGTCAAGTTTGAGACAATTGACTGACTTTTTTGCAGACCAAGTATTTACTGATTGGTTCTCAGATTTTATTAAGAGATTCTATAATTTTGATGTTCAAATACATTTGATTGTCCCCCGTCTGTATTCTCGTTCACTACACTACTAATAAACTAATAGTATTCGCTCATGACTTAGTAACTACGATGCTAACAGTTAGTCATTTCTCACTGACAATCACTATCTATCAATCAAATTTTGCATCAAATTAAACAACTCAAAATCTCTTGTTCAAGTCTTTACCGAAGAATTATTACTGTGAAGTATTTGGATGAGATGTACTAATAAATGTAAGGGATTATGAAATTTAGGATCATTCAATTACCTTTCATCATCTGACTAACTACATTTGATATGAAATCTTTCGCAAACTTATCATTAAGTGAAGTTTTTTTCAATTGAATTGTGATTACACTCTCGGTTGCTTCATGGTTTAATGATGATTAAACATTTAAAGCTTTCAAATTTAAACCAAAGAGTAAAGGTTTCGAACTGTATCTTTACTTATCTCACTTTGAATAATTGTTGAGTTGCCTTTCGGAGAACTGTAATGGAGCCTCCAGAGGCCCTAAAGGAGCCGAAGAGTCCTAGCCAATCAGAGCATGATGAGGCTTTCTAGAATGTCAACGTGGCGTGCTACTATTGTTCAGTAGCATAATATGTCTTTTAGTGGATTGGCTAAAATATGATGTTGATTTAACAAATGTTAACATCTATTAATACCCGTGTTTTTCTGCACAAAAATGAACCTTGGAGTAAAGTACTTCTCGCATACTTTGCATCTTCTCTCTGGTGTTCAGGTCGCTGTATAGTTCTAGCTTGAAGGTTACAGAATAGCTTAGGAAACGAATATCGCGTTCAATCCACAAGACTTATCAATAATCAGGTTTTATTACCAAGTTTTACACAAAATCATATAGCTTAGAGTAGATTCGGCCAACTGGAACTTAGTCATGTAGTTGTCTAGTAACCATCTTATTAGATTTTATGAATGGTTTTTTTTCTTATTACGTACGGATCGATATCCATAACACTGGGTAACTATGCATTTAAGTGTCACAATAACTTACAGTATAAGAAGTAAAACTCTATATATATACACACATACAAACAAACAAAAAGGAAATGTGCACTTACTTTCTTCATTCATTTGTGCTAGAAAACATTTATTTAATCGACATGCACGACAATGATTACGATGATGACGATCAATGGTACATTTACCTTTTAAATTACCACTTGCTTTACATGTATATGAACGATTCTTGTGAATACTTCTTTTAAAAAATCCAGAACATCCTGAATTGTAAAAAATATAATTAGAAATGATAAACTTAATGGGGTAATAGTACAATTTGCTTATGAGATAAGAAGTATGATGGAGATTTAGATTTGTTATTCCTTGAAGGTATCATTACAAAACTGTTTGGTCGAATGAATCAAGATCTATTTGGATGATGTTAATAATTTCATATAAGTATTGGTACATAGGGGCACTGAATACATATGCACCACACAAGTCACTTGGTTTGTGTGTGGGCTGTGATAATACCCGGATGCTCAAACCGAAGGTGGTTTTCTTAGGGGGCCACTTCTGAAGCTTTCGACCTAAAGGTCTAATCCACAAGGCAGTGGAGCAACATTTGGAGATTCAGTCCCATGGTGGTGGCTGTATACGCATGACCATGTAAGAATAGACTCTCTACACCCTCGACCGTACCAGGGGACTTGGGGGAAATTTACAGTTTAATTGAATGTTTTGAATAGTATAAATGAGCTAAATGTAAACTTTCAAAAATTTTACCCTAAAAACTTTCGTTAGTATTATATTCCATGTTATTTGTTGTTCAAATAGTGAACAATTCATTGTTATTTTAAACAACATTATTGGTAACTCACTTGTTTATATTAGAGATTTTCTGGGAGAAGATCAATTAATCACAAGGTCAATGATTAATAAATCGCTAGAAAATCCATTAGAAAGTGAACCTTTAAGATGGTGGTTGCAGGTAGTCAACAGCAAACTCTGGACCAACGTCAAGGAGTGCCAGTTCCCTCAAAATTACAGGTACATCTTACTGACGAGTACGAAATAGCACGAAACCTGGGTTCAGAGTCTTCAGTTGACTACCTTCAGTCACCATCTTATTTCAACATAGTGCACGTAATTTCAAGTCATCTAAACTGGTGGCCACATTACAACTTGGTCGATAGGATTCGATCTAAACTAAGAAGGACCTGACACACATGACATTGATCACCACCCAGTGATCAATCAATTGTGAAATTGAACCCTTTTTATCAATAAACACGACACTGACAGAAAGATTCACTTGAACTGTGAAACCTTCATTGTGTTAAATAGTAGATAAATTGTCAACCTCATTCTGTAGTGAACGAGAACACAAATGAGACGATCGAATATATTTCAACACAAAATTACAGAATCGCTTAGTAAATTCGAAGAACCATACAGTAGATACATCATTTTCAAAATATTAGGCAATAGTCTCATACTTCATGGTTTCTTAGTTTCCACACCAATCAGTCTCTGTTCTCGTTCTCCTTTCTTCGATCTTCTTAACTTTCTGTCATCAGCCATTTCACTTTCGATCGATGATACTACTTATATCTGTCGATATCAGCATCACACTTTACAATTCAATTTAAGATTTGTTTCAATGAATAACCAACAAAATGGTTGAAAAATTCGTAAGAAAAAAAACGAGTAGAAACAATCATATAGGGTCATTTTTTAACTCACCATCACAACTATATACTCCATAATGCTTTCCAGTAGAACGATCACCACAAACACCACATGGTATATTAAGTAAACGGTAATCTAGAAATTAATGAAAAGAAAAACATTTGGAACAGATAGTTTGTAAATGATTTTTGAAATCATTAACTGGATATCTGTTTTGTTGTAGCATAAGATTCCTCAGCGATGCATATTTATGACCAAGGATCTAATCAAGAGATCAAATATCTCGTAGGAAACGCTTTCACCTTAGATCATTGAACCAGTAATTCATGGTTTGTGTGTTTTTTAATGGTTATTCAACTTACGTTGGTTTTTTAGTTTCTACATGTCTCTGAAAGTTCCCTCCATGCTTAAGATTTGTGGGTGGTTGCACTTCTTACGTACTGACGCCTGTCACTCCCAGTGGAGCATAGGCCACAGTTGTTTTGTATTCCAGATGTTCTTCAATTGTAGATATGCTACCCTTGCTTAACCGATTTACACCTTCACATCTACATCAGATCCCCAATGTTCACCAATGACGCCAACCAGAAAAAATAATTCAGGGATGGTTGTATGCCTGTGGTAAATTTTTTCATTGGAAGTGGCATCAACTGTGAAATCAAAGAATGGTAAGAGATTGTGGATAGTTAAACCGTTCTCGCTTTCAGAATTTTCATCAACCTGCAATCACTTATTCAGGATTATGTGGCTAAATAGTCAGATATACGATGTTTACTAGTTTAATTTGTAAATGTTATGGGTCTATGAAATTATCAGAGAATGTTTCCACATAGATTAAAACAATTTTTCTAGATATCAGTATAGGGTTGTGGAGATTATTAAGTTTTTGATTGAGATCATGAACTGATCGACGTTAGACCATTAGTGAAGACCTGGAAGCACTGGACGGCCGTTTCGTCCTGTTGTGGGACTCTTTGACGGTGTTCGTCCACGATCCCGCAGGTGGGATTCGAACCCACAGCCTTCAGTCCAGTGCTTCTAGGTTTTCAATTGTCGTCTAACATCAATCAGTTCATGATCTCAATCAAAAAATGTTTCTAGATTTTTAAAGATTCACTTTTGACCGTACAGTAATATCTAGCAGGCATGGCATAATACTTTTTTGTAAAACTATCCTGAACGTTCTTTACATTGAATGCTATAAGAAATGGTGGATAATTTCTCGAAAAGATCTTTCAAAGTCAGGAAGAATTCTGGGAATATACTGACCATGTTGAGATCTTTGCAAATTTTCAGGACGAATTTGGGAGACGTTCAAGTATGCTTTACTTGTCTTGATTAGTATGTTGTCAGCTTTATTCTTCCAAACCTTACAGAATCTGGAACTGACATATATTCTTATAAACATCATTATGTCTTGTATATAGCATAATCTTCTAAAAAAATCTTCCTCTAAACTTCCATGTGCTTTTTATTGAGCATTTCAATGTCAATCAAGACTTCTGATGATAAGGAAGTTGATCTCTATGAGTTCTTGTACAAGTCTTATATTAAGTACCTCCTATAGTTTATAAAATCTTATTTCTTTTTTCACTTTACAATTGAACAGTAGTAACATCTCCGACTGGGAAGCTGGCTGACACGGAATTGAATCTGTCGAGGAGCATCAGTTCCCTTAAGAATAATACAAGTACAGCTTGCTGATGAGTGCCAATTAGCATGAAACCTGGGTTCAAAGTTTCCTGTTGACTACCTTCAACCACCAACTTATCTCAATATAGTACACACAATGTTCAGTTATCTAGACTAATGGCCACATTACAACTTGGTCGATAAAATTCGATGTGCACTAAGAAGGACCTGACACACATGACATTAATCACCACACAGTGATCAATCAATTATGAATACATCTCAGTCCTATAGGAGGTCAGTTGCGGCACAGATAACTCAGTGCTAACGTCTCTAAGTTCAAAGCTGGTTGACACGGGATCAAATCCGTCAGAGAGCACCAGTTTTCTCAAGATTACAGCCACATCTTGCTGACGAATGCCAATTAGCATGAAACCTGAGTCCAGGGTTTTCTGTTGACTACCTTCAATCACCATCTTATCTCAACATAGTACACACAATGTTGAGTCATCTAGACTAATGGCCACAATACAACTTGGTCAATAGAATTCGATCTACACCAAGAAGGATCTGAGACACATGACATTGATCACTACCCAGTGATTAATCAATTACAATTCAATAATATATTGTTAACCCAATGGACTTTTATCATAACCATCATTTATTCTATAAACTTTATGATCATCAGTTGACATGATAAAAACAAAAACAAAAAAAGACAATGTATCCATGTATCATTGTCAAATACATTAAGATAATTTAAGGAGAATCTCATACGAAATTGTTTTCATAATTCACTATCTAACTAAACACATGTATCAATGTCCAATTGTTTTCAATGTATCCTTTCTATGTTTTATCTTCGTTTAATTCAATAATGAAGTCATTTTTATTGACATAAAGAAGAAGAAGAAAAAGAAGAAAAACATTCGAAAGTGAATTGACCAACTACAACAACAACAAAAGGAGTCTGTTTTCTTTTCTTGTTTTTCTCATGGAAAGTTTTAAATGGGATTTGATAAATTTCATGTGTTGTAGACTTTTTCTTTTAAAAGTAAAAAAGAAAACTGTCTAGTCAAATAGATTAAGATAAATCTATACATACACACACACACACAGTTAGAGGGAGACTAAGGGGAATAGACAATGCTCTACTTGGAATGATATAATATAAGGTAACAGTAGTAGTAATAGTAGTAGTAGTAGTAGTAACAGTGATAGTAATAGTAGTATTAAATCGTTGTAATGTACACTTGAAAGCAAATGTTTTGTATTCTACATACATTTATATGATAAAAGATAGATAGATTTCTTTTAATTGTTATTATCATTTTATCACACACACACAACCCCCCTAAAAGAAAAATAACACACCCACTTCGTTTTTTCCCCCAATTTTTAGCAACTATTTTATCCTAGTCATTTTAATCCCCCCCCTACTAGTTATTCGACTGTTATTCTAATATTGAATCTGTTCTCAACTCACAATCAGTATTACTTATAAGCGACATAGAAATAAGTAAGACTTTTCTTCTTTTTTTTTCTTTTTCTTCTTACTTTTTTCTTCTTTTTTTATTTCTTTTTTCTTTTTCTTTTTCTTCTTCTTCTTCTTCTTCTTTATAGAACATCATGATAATATGAATAGAGATGAAATTACTTAAAAGAATTAAAGTGAATAAGTGAATTTCAATTTATGTATAGTTAACTTTAATGTAATAATAAAATGAAAATCTAATTCATGTGAATATAAACCATATGGGATGAAAATGAACAATGGAAATAGCATAATTATTCACAATTAAGACATGTTGTTTTAAATGAATATTCATGTTAAATTATTGAGATAAAAAAAAAGAAAAAGAAAAAGAAGAAGAAACAAAACATTAATGTGTATGTGTATTTTGTGGTATGTACTACTGATATCGATAGATATAAGTAGTATATATCATTTAATCGAAAGTGAAATATCTAGTGGTAGAAGATGAAGAAGATTGAAGAGAAGAGAATAAAGAATGATTGGTGTGGAAATGAGGAAACAATGAAGTCAGAGATGATTGATTGATATTTTTTCCACATAAATTTACAAATTCTGGGAGGTAAAACCTGACTCACACTTTCTCATCGTGCCTATTGGATAATGGGACTCAGTCCACTGAATTAACGTAGAGATCGGGCTAATCACCCACTCGATCGATAAACACAAACTGATTACGAAACCAACAACGTATCACAGCACAATAATTCCTGGATTGAAAAAAGACGAAATATTCACAAAAGTGGTACATGGATTGTACTCGGTTGCACCCTACTCGAAAAATTCCAACCGATTGTAAAAACAACTATTCTAGCCCCGGTAGTTGTGCCGTGCTTTGATGTGGCCTGTTTCTCTTCAGAAGGGCATACTAGGCGTCACCAAATTGTTTGGCTGGAAGGGGCATCACAGATTCTATTTAGACTGGTGTCTTGTTTACTACAGTTTCAGAGAAATATTGTAAAGTTATTTTATTCACATTCTATTGTTCAGTTAAGTAAGGTCTTTTACTAATCTGTGAAAAATATTATCTACAACATAAAACTAATCTCCTGGAATACACCTTTGAAATAATTAACTACAAGATAGTCATATAGTTCTGATGTGAAGAAGTGAATATGGTGTGCGTTACTTATATCCATATAAGTAGTATATAACGATGGTCAAGCATAGAATGTATTTCAGTAGAAGATCGATATGGAAAGAAAAGAAGTAGAACGCAATTGGTATGAAAATGCATAAACAATGAAATCTGAGACAATGGACTGATATTTGCGAAAGGAACAGTCAAATTTGAGACGATGTGTTGATAGTTTGCAAATTAACTACTTACACTATATGGTTCTCAGATTTTATTGAGATACTCTGTAATTTCGTATTTAATACATGCGATTTTTCCCACTCGTGCTCTTGTTCACTACAGTGATTAGTGAAGTTCAGACTTAACAGAACTGAAACAATTACCTTTAGTAGAGTTTAATGATTATTAAACTATCTGATAAACTAATTGAAATTAAAATTATATTACTGAACTTTGATCAAGTGGTTCTAGTGTTGGAGTGTTCTTCACGAGCAATGAACGTGATTAGTTCAACCTCTGGTCAAATGATGAATTTACTCTATTAAAAAGCATCATAGTAGGGCAAAACAGAGATTCAATATTTTCAATGGTTGAGATCATGAGTCAATTGAAGCTAGACCACTATGGAAAACCTGGAAGCACTGAACGGCCGTTTCGTGTTAGTATTGGACTCCTCAGCAGTGTGCATTCATGACCCCGCCCCGCGAGATTCGAACCCAGGACCTATCAGTCTCGCGCCAGGTGCTCAATGAAAGCTTAACTTAGATTAATTTGTAATGAATAAAAACTACTCGATGAGACTATAATTTATAAACGAGACAATCAGATTTACGATAACGAGTTTCGGATTTTACTGTAAAATTCATTCATCTATTTGACCAACTAGCGATTTTACATTTTAGCTGATGTCAATTCGTGATAAATACCTTAATTCTAGTTTCTCACACTGGTTTATAACCCTCTTTTTGTCCAAGTTATTAGGTGGACATTCTCAAGGTCACTTTAGTGTCACTCAAAGGTTGTCCATAAATGAAAATCAAACCAACTACTCTTCACAGGATTTATTTAACCAATGCATTACAAGTTTGCTTACATGAAGTCAGTAGATTTTATTGTACTTAAAAAGAGTTTACATTTAGTGTACTACAACTCTCAACATTTTTTATGATGAATTAAAATTTGCACACTGACAAATAATTCAATTACGAATATTATCAGAAAGGGGTTTTGTAGAGATTGTAGTAGTTTTAATAATTGAGTTCATGTGTCAATTAAAGCTAGAGCATTATGGAAAACCTGGAAGCATTGGATGGTCATTTCGTTCTAGTACGGGACTCCTCAACAGTTCGTGTCCACGATCCCGCTCTCATGGATTGGTTGAAGTTAAGCATAAACACGGTTTGATGCCGGCTCAGTGGTCTAAAGGCTAAGCTTTCGCACGTGAGACCGAAGGTCGTAGGTTTGAATCCTACAAGCGTGGTCGTGGATGCGCACTGCTGAGGAGTCGCGTACTAGGACGAGACGACCGTCCAGTGCTTCCAGATTTTTCATGGTGATCTAGCTTCAAGAAAAGACGTAAAAAGCTAATGCTGCCCACCGACTTCATCTCCCTACATTGCTCCATTGTTTTGCGGATCAAACCTTTAGGTCGAAGGCTACAGATAAGGCCCCTGAGAAGACCACCTACTTCGGTGTGGACATCCGGGCAGTATCACAGCCCACACACAAATCAATTGACTTGTGTCGCTCATTTGTATTTGGTAACCCTGAGTACAAATATTTATGTGTTCAAATAAACGAATAAATAAATACACAATCCGTAATTTATTCTACACTTAATTATTAAGGTTTGAGAGAGAGAGATAGATTTTAATAAACTGAAGAAATTTATCAAGTGTTAAATAACACATTCCAATAACCTTTCATTATTTCTAATCTAAAGTGAATACTCCTTCCTCCTACCCCCCCCGTTGCCTCTTATCTACCTTTTTTATAAACTTTATCCTCTTTCTACACTGTTTAACATTATTCTATTTCCCTCAGTTATTAACATCATCATCCTCAACATCATCATCATCATCATCATCATCATTTTTGCAGCTGCTGTTTTATTATCAAATTGTTAAGTAAATGTAACCCTATTTTACACTAAACAAACAAACAATCTCTAAGAGGTAGTTTCTTTTCATAATCTCAATGATACTTTTCATTGTTTTAAACACTTTAGAACAACTTATCTATATCTATTTCATATTAAATAGAATACCCTTACATGAATCAGTTAGTTAGTTAGTTAGTTAGTTAGTTAAGTATATAAGTAGTTAGATAAGTTAAGTGTATAATGTGTATATAAAGAGGTTAGTATGTAATCAACAATCTCAATTCAATTACCACTTATTTACATTGTAATAATTATCCTATTTCATAGTTATAATTTCAAACTTATTGTCTATGATTTTCTAATCTTTAAAAGATTGTTTTCAATTAAAATTTCTTTAATACTACTCAATACTACTTATTTATCAGTGAAACTTAAAGTAATCGGATTAAAAACAAAAAAAGAATTTTTCACTAATAAATAAAGAGTATAGAGGAATGAAAGGCTACGTTCGTTCATTATTCCAACGTGTCTTCTTCTTCTTTATTTTATCCCATTTAAATAAATTATGTATATGTATATTAGAAGATTATCAGTAGTATATATAGATATATATGAAAAACGCTCCGTACAAACAAACAAACAGATAAACAAACTTAATTCAATGTTAAATTGTCATTTATTAAACAAGAGAATGTAACAATAATTCGAATTATATTTGAAATCAGTTTAGGGGTTGTGGAGATTGTTAAGTGTTTTTTATTATTGAGATCATGAACCGATGGATGTTAGACCACCATTGAAACAGGTGTCTACCTCAGTACAATGGAAGATGGTCGCGCAACTTCGTGGATTGGTTAAGGTTAGACATTAATACCATTGGATGCCGGCTCAGTGGTCTAGTAGGTTAGGCGTTCGTGTGCTGAGACTGAGGGCCCTGGGTTCGAATCCTGCTAGCGGGATCGTGGATGCGCACTGCTGAGGAGTCCCACGATAGAAAGAAACGGCCGTCCAGTGCTTCTAGGCTTTCAATGGTGGTCTATATTTGATATGTTCTTCTGGTTTACTTTTTCAACTTGTTTTGTTATAGAAGTCTAATAACTATCAATAATTAAATTTACTTGGTATTAGTTACTTGAGTCTTCAAATTGATGTTTAAACTAATTGATTAGTCTCTTATTGGCATATATACATTGTGTACGAATTGTTTTGATATTGAGTTCATTCATAAACATTCTAAGTAAAGATAGATGATGGTGGTTAGCAATGGAATCAAGGATATGTGCTTCGTCCTATTTGGGATTTTTCAGTTGGATACACATATGTCAATAAGAGATTGAACAATTTCAGTTCTAAACATCAATAGAAAGAATTAAGTAAACAATACCAAGTGAATTTAGGACTTCACCCTATTGCACAAGCAAGTGACTATCAGGAGTCAGTAACTAAGTGGATAACACGATAGCGTTTGAGACGAACGGTACTGGGTTCGGATCCAGGAGTGAACATCAACTTTGAGGTGCAGATACCTCCAGCTGACGAGTCCCAAATAGGACGAAGCCCGCAACAAACTGG